AAACCAAAAATTGATAAAAATTGAAGTAAAATTATATTCAAACCTAAATTTTAATTTGCCTAATAATTGTTAAACATGCAAAAGAAATTAATAATATAAGTACATAATTGGAAAATAACTATGAATAAAGAAAAAAAATTATACCTAAAACCTTGGAATTGTGGTTTAATGTAGCTTGAAGGGAAGGAGAGATGGAGCAGCTCCGTGGTCGGTGGTGCGGTGGTGTGGCGGCGAACTTTAGGGCCGTGGTCGGTGGTGCGGTGGCGCAGCGTCTTCGAACAGAAAAGAAGAGAGGTGGAGGGGTTTTTGAACAGCAGAGAAGAGAGGTGGCGCGGCGTCTTCGAACAGAAGAAAAGAGAAGGACAGGGGAGAAACAGAAGGGTGTGGTGGAGGGTTTTTGAACCTCCGTTCAAGGTGGCAACTGTGGTGGAAGGAAAAGGGGAGCCCGGACAGTCGGGTTTTTGTGGGTTTTGGCTCGAATGAAACAGTGGCTGAACGAATGAAAATGAAAAAGCTAAGGAAAGAGAAGGAAGAAAGGAGAGGGAAGGAAGGAGAAAAAAGAGCAGCCTTTTTTTTTTTTGGAAATTGCCACCGGTTCACAAAGGCACCTGTTCAAACCGGTGCCTTTTGTGCTGGTTCATTAAACCGCGCATTTTTTAGCCCATTTTTGCCAACGGTTTGGAGTGAACCAGTGGCAATTAAGGGGTGTCTTTTTAATATTTTCTACTAGTGTACGGATTCATGGTCCACTTTAGTGAAACCCATTTAATTTTTTTAAGAGCATGCTTGGTTGGAGTTATTTTTTATTTTTTTAATGGAAAAGATTCAAATAAACCATTATCGTTATCAAGTGTTTTATTGAACGGTTTGGATAGCAATAATTAATTACCATTACCCTTGGGTAATGGTTTCCACTAATTTGTTACCTCTCTAAACCCTAAGGTAACAAGGGTGTGCCCCACTTTCTCTTATTGAGAAACAGAGAGTGTTTCTCTAATGGCATTTATGAAATTATAGTGCATTGGGAATTGTAAAGTAATAATATTATAACAAAAGAAGTATTGACTCAAATTTGTGATGTGGTGAGGTTAGACGGTGTGAAATGAGAATTTACTGCCGTTAATGTTATTCTTCAACATCCGTCCAATTTATAGTTACAACCACCAAACAGGTACGAATTGCCATTTTTTCCGTCATCGATTTGCTCGCAAACCACCAGCACCTTGATATAAGAAGCTTAAATAAATTCATTTTATGCAAGTTGTTATTTTTTGGCGGGAAAGTTGGTTAGCAGCTTTGTTTTTGTCGTTTCCTAGTTTGTTACAGAAAGATGCTTTTTGTCTGAGTTTGTTACAAGCTAAGTTGTTATAAGGAATTAGTGGTTGTAATATCAAAATCATAATAATAATTACAATCTTATCTCTCTCTTCTAATCTTCTCTCCATTTTCTCTCTATCTTCTTCTTCTTCTTCACGTTTCCCCTTTTTCTTCCATTTTTCCCCTGTTCTTCTGGTATTATCATCACACACCAAATCCTCCCTTATCAGTGGTATCAGAGCCGCTGCTGTTTACTCTGCACAATCTGGCACCTTCACTTACTACTCGAGTATCAAGGATGGAAGCTCAGTTGCAGGCTTTGGAGAAGCGTCTCGAAGCTCAGTCACTCACTTCAAATCAGAGGCTGGATGACTTGACCTTGACTTCTAATCGGAAGTTTGAGGACCTAGATCACCTAGATCACCTAGATCTGATGATCTGATGATCGTTTCAATCAACCTAAACTAGGGTATATTCCTAAACTCGATTTCCCTAAGTTTGATGGTAGTAACCTGAGATTGTGGATTAAGAAATGTTGCAAATATTTCACTCTTTGTAAGATTCCTGATGATCAGAAAGTTGATTTGGCTTCCCTTAATATGACTGATAAAGCTGAAAATTAGGTGTCTAGCTATTTGTCTACTCGTATTGTTGTGGATTAGAATGACTTTGTGATTGATGTGAATGGGAGGTTTAAGGATGAGGTAGGTGTTAATGTGGTTGAGGATTTTAATAAACTTTAACAAACTAGTAGTATTGAGTCTTACATTGATGAATTCAAAAATCTGAAAGCTATTATGCTGCAAAATTCTTTTTCTCTGCCTGAGAAGTACCTGTTAGAAAGCTTTATAGGTGGGCTTAAACCTGGTATCAGGCCATTTGTGCGAGCTTCTAAGCCTCAGACTGTGATGGCGACAGTTGAATATGCTTGTTTACAGGATGAATCTATTGCTGCAAATTCACCTAAACCTACAAAATCTTTTACACCCAAACCAATTTTTCTTCCAATTTTTCTAAGCCAGCTTTGTTACCAACACCACCAATCCCTCCTTTAACCCTTCCTGCTTCAAACACTAAACCACCCTTTTCTAAACCCAAATATGTCCCTGCTGCTATGAGAGCTGAGAAAATTGCAAAAGGGTTGTGTTACTATTGTGATGCCCCAATGACCCATGTCTGTAAATTCAAATAGCCACAGCTGTTTACTATTGAGATTCCAGGATTGGATGACACTATGCTATTGTAGTTCAGTTGGAGGATATGGAGGATGAGTGTCTTTTGGACCCTAAGATCTCTTTGTGTGCTTTATCTGGCAGTCAGAATTTCAATACTATGAGGGTGACAACTCTGGTAAAGGGTTTAGCTCTGCATACTTTAATAGATTCAGGGAGTACTCATAACTTCTTGGATTTGCATCTTTCTGCTAAATTAGGGTGTGTGACTGAGCAGATTGCATGTTAATCTATTCTGGTAGCTGATGGGAATCACTTGCTTTGTTAGTCTATTTGCAGAAACTTTAAATGGCAGCTAGGTGGCCATGAATTTCATACTGATGTGATGTTAATTTCTCTGGGAAGATGTGACATGGTGTTAGGTGTTCAATGGCTTAATACTCTGGGCTCTATTTCTTGGATTTGAAGCATTTGCCTATGAGATTCTGCTCTAGGGGCAGAGATATTGAATTGAAAGGTACTCCACTCTAGAAAGTTAAGGTAATTGAAGGGGTCCCACCTGTCAAGTGTCTTACTAATGCAACCCATATTTGCTTGTTGCAAGTGAGTAATAATGATGTCAGCTGATGTCCCTACTTGTTTTATGCAAGTTTTTGAGGAAATTGCAGAACCTGAAGTCCTATTTGCTTTGAAAGCAAAATTTGCTAGTATTTTTGAAGATCCAATTGATCTACCTCCTAATAGAGGAATATTTGACCATATAATTCCCTTAGAACCTGGGAGTACTGCTGTCAATATCAAGCCTTATAGGTATCCTTTGAAACAGAAGGATATTATTGAACAGTTAGTCCATGAAATGCTTGATAGAGGAATCATTCAATCTAGCTCTAGTCCCTTTGCTTATCCTGTGGTTTTGGTGGGAAAGAAGGATGGCTCTTGGAGATTATGTGTGGATTACAGGGAGTCAAACAATAGGACAGTTAAGAACAAATTCCCAATTCCTGTTTTGGAGGAGTTGGTTGATGAATTGGCTAGAGCTATGGTCTTTAGCAAGCTTGATCTCAGGGTAGGTTATCATCAATTGAGGGTTCACCCTAATGATGTCTTTAAAACTTCTTTTAAGACTCATGAGGGGCATTATGAATTCCTAGTTATTCCTTTTGGCTTAACTAATGCCCCTTCCTCTTTTACCTAAATAAATTCATTTTATGCAAGTTGTTATTTTTGGCGGGAAAGTTGGTTAATAGCTTTGGTTTTGTCGTTTCCTAATTTGTTACAGAAATATGCTTTTTGTCTGAGTTTGTTACTAGTTGAGTTGTTATAAATAATTAGTGGTTGTAATATCAAAATCATAATGGTAATTACAATCTTATCTCTCTATCTCTCTCTTCTAATCTTCTCTCCCTTCTCACTCTAATCTTCTTCTTCCTCAAGTTTCCCCTTTTTCTTCCATTTTCCCCTGTTCTTCTGGTATTATCATCATACACCAAATCCTCCCTTATCACACCTTCATTGCCCCAATCTTCTTCACTCTCCTTTGCCTTTTCAGCCGCAAAAATCAAACGAAAAACCCTAAAAAATGGAGAAATTATGGCATGGTTAACCCTTAAGGGCAAGGTTTGTCTTCCTCCTAGGTTGTTCATGCGTTGCAATTTCTGTATTGAAGATTTTGATTTCCATTAATGAAGGTGAGAGAATGAAGGAAGAAGAAGAAGCCCATGGATGTTGGTGGCGCACACGACTTTGCCTTGCATTGATTATAGGAAAGGTGGAAGTTGTGGTGAGGTGGATAGATAGAGGGCGGAGAATCAGGGAAGGAGAGAGAATTTGGTGGTGGTGGTATTTCCATGAAGGAAAAGGGCGATGGGTTAAGATGAGGAGAAAGAAAGCACTACAAGAAAAAGGGTAATTAGCGACGGCCAATGTAGTCGCAAATTCGTCGCAAAAATGGATTTGCGACGGATTTGCGAGTACTTTGGTTCGTTGCCAAAGACCTCGTCGCAAATCCATTTTTGCGACTAATTTTTGGACAGTCGCAAATTTAGCGACGGATTTGCAACGCCTTTGCAACTACCATTTAGCGACTAACTTTCAAATTTTAGCAACTAAATTATTGTCCGTCGTAAAATATTTGCGACGGATTAGCAACTACTTAGACCAATGTTTTAGGACTACTTTTGCGACGGATTAGTGACTACAAGACCAAACTTTTGCGACTACGAGACTAAACTTTTGCGACTACAGAGACTAGTTTAATTGCGACGGATTTGCGACTATTGAGACTAATGTTTTTTGCGACGGATTAGCAACTACATACGAGACCAAATTTTTTGCGACTACAAAACTAATTATTTGTGACAGATTAGCGACTAATGATTTTGCAACTAACCAATTAGTCTCTAAACCAAATTTGCAGTCACTAAATATTTGCGACTAACTATCAATATTTGAGACCATAATTAAGCGACAACCAATATTAATCACAAAGTAAAAAAGGTACCCACGCATAAATTCAAATAACCAAAATGTTAACTTTATTCAAATATCCAAAATATCAATCAATTTTGTATCAATGTATTAAAAAACAATATTTAACTTATAAGACTAATTGTTCCAAAAGTCACCTCCCATATAAAAAAAAAGCTACTTCAAACAAGAATTAATGACAATGTAAAAGACCAGTTGTTCATAAAATTACCACCAAGAAAATAAAAATCACTTAGTTGTATCACGAGAGCGGGTGACTGCAGGCGTAGGAGGCTTATAAGGACGGTAAACTTGTTTTACAAGTGATACCATTTCCTGCAATGTTTTTTGCATAGCTAATTTTTCCTTCTTCCATGTAGCTTTTTCGATCTCATGATTTTCGACGAATTCCTTAGCATATTTTAAGCTCTCTGCCGCTATTTTTTGGCTTTCTTCTACCTTGTTATGGTTTTCTTCCGCCATCTTCTTTAGTTCTTCAACTTGAGAACTTAATTGAGAAATCATGGAAGGAGTGTAAGATGATGCAGTAGATTGAGAAGTAGGATCACTCTTGTAATACATTTGTGAAGCACTCCCTAAACCGTAGACTTTTCCTTTCTTTTGCCCACCTACAACCTCCAAGTAGACTTTGTCGGGGTTTATCTCAATTCCTTTGTTCTTATATTCCTCAAGTTTTTCCATATATTCTCCCTGCATTAAGATATGTATTAGTAACTATGATCTCAAATGTTAAAACTTTAATAAACTAAATACATTTTAAAAATAAACAACTATAATAAAAATACAAGCAATGACTCGGGACATCGTCCCGGATAAAAACTTGTTTGGACTTCTGAAACACAATTTAATTTAATTGCTTTAGAGCAGCTAATAGAGTATTACCCATCAATGATGCAAGAACATGAATACAAGTACAGTCAGAGTTACCTCTTAATAGATGTTCCAGATTACAAAGGTACAACTATTGGGAACATAGTATCATGGGTATTTTTATTATAGTTGTTTTTTTAAATAAAAAAGGTAACACTTATAGCAAAATAATTTATGTAAGCAGTTATTAGTAAAAATTTCGACAAAGTCTCCTTTGTAAATTGAAGAATCCCCTCCTATAGGGTATGGCTTCAAAATAAACCTGTCTCAATTCACATTGTGCCATACCACATTAACCATATGATTAATGCCGGAAAATCATTCTCATCCTCCAACTCAATCACACAAACAAATAAATAATCTATAATATCTCCAAACATTAACTACCACATTTTTTTTTTTGTAATCTTAGCAAAATATAGAAGTATACTCATACCATGACTTTTTGAGACTTGTCACCCATCAATTCAACTTCATCATTGCCCACACAAACAGAATGAGTGCTCTCATATACTTCAGCAGCAGTTGGTAAAATTCCATCCTTTTTCTTTGCCTTGTATTAGAAGAAGTTGTTAGCACTAAAAAAAATACAACAAAAAATAGGGGACATAGACTACAGAGCAATTGTAATAAAGACTAGCTATTGTCATCTCTTAGTGGCTAAATATTTTCTACTTGCTTCAATCTTATATAAAATCACAAGTTAGCTACTAAAATCATACACTTACCATTTTTTTAACCACTTGAGGAGTAGATACGCTACCTTGGCGATGGCCAGGGTCAAACTTCTCTAATGTTTGGCCAGATAACCGATTATCTCTTGCTTGGTTAGAACGTTTCAGAAAATCAGGATGCTTACGCTTATTTATGAATTCAGCTCGAACAGTGTCAATCATGAAACTAACTTCCTTATGGAGAGGCATTTTGTAAACTTGGTTCAATGTGCCCCTAAGTCGGTCCCCAGCTTTTTTGTCAAATTCTCTCCTAGCCTTAGCATCGAACTCAGTTCTCCAAGTATATGTACGCTGCACATAATTAACATGTAAAGCTTATAATTTTAACTCAAAATAGCATATTATACATATATAATTTTATTTCTAATTTATAAACAAGATTTTGATGGGAGAGTTTAAGCTTATGGAGAGTTTAAGATTTTGATACAAAAACAGTCTATAACAAAAGAAGACACTTCTACATATATAAACAAGCAGCAAAGAGCCAGCATACAACTTCCTGTATCCAGTAAGCTACAACATCTTTATATAGACTCATGCATGCCAGACATGCTCATTAGTAACAACGTAGATGTAGTTAGGCACCTGAATTATTTTTGTTCCCTTGGAAAGGAAACTGGAAAAGAACTGTAAAATACTGATTAGAAAACCACTTGATGGGAAACAAATATAGTGCCCATCATACCATAACAATACAAACTAAAACGGGAAGATAAACTTTTGAAATTGATCAAACTTATTACTAAGTTGTGAGGGCTAAGCAGCTTGCAAAAGCATTGTTCTTAGGATTTCTATCTAACTTCTAAGAGAATCTGATTCAACAGCATAAGCAACCTCATTATACAAGAGTTTCAAATCATTACCTCAAGCTACCAGTAAACCCTTAGCTAGCAGTAACAAACATGGGGTTTTAATGTGAGCAACAAGGAAATTACAGCAAATATTAGCTCACGATGGTTGCATTGGTGTAAGGAAAGCAGGGTGCAGAAAGGGACCGTTAACTAAAGCTTATCCAATGCAACTAATTAACGAAACCCAGAAATCAACGCCGTGAAGACAGCATTGTCATCAAACCTGGTTGCAACTCAACTGTAAGCTACCCTTAAGAAACTAAATCCCAGGATTTGAAACGGTTGTATTTTTTCCTATTCTACGGTACACTAAAATGGCCATGCTTCTCAGACTTCTAGCCTAGTTTCCAAACACACAGGTTTCAAGCTGCCCAGTCTTCTGCACAAGTGGCATATTTTACAAGCATACATGCAGAAAAAACTGAACTCACCTGAAGCTACAGCAGATTAATATTAGTATGAAAATGAAAATTTGAAGCGTTTGCTTGCATGACAATTAATTTGAAATAAAAGCCAGAAGAAAGTAACTAGGAAAAGGTTTCTCTTTGGCTAAAACATATTTTGTTGAGTTACCCACTACTCGATCTATTCTTTCTCACCTGTTTTCACAATTTATCATAAACTTAGAATAGGAAGACGAATGAGCCATCCAGATCATTCACTATGACTCCAAACTGAACTACAGCCAAGAAGAAAAATATTCTTCAGAATTTTATGTCAAATTCACAACACTGCACTCATAAATAGCTAGAAAAACTAGAGTACGTAATGCTGCTTATTCAATGCAAATAAATAAGTAACCTAATCAAGACATAAAATTGAAGCATTCTCCTCATATAACAGATTAAATCAGCAACAACCCATATTACATTCAGAGCAAAACAATGAACACTTCTTATACAGTCAGAAAATTCAAAACACTTCTAGTGTATAGGCAACCCCCGCTTGCCCTACAGCAATTTTAGAAAATCAAGCGAACCCTAGAACACAACCACCAGAGTTTTCAAACAGTTAGCAATGATGCAGCAAATAGGAGCAAGAAAGACAGAGTTTTCAGCAAGATCCTACAACAAAATTCGAAAGAGCGTGCCCTACCATAAAATTTAGAGGTTACACATTTGGATTGGTACTTAAAATTTCTTAAAACAAACCTGGCATGGCTGTTGGAATACACGAATGTTGTCTCTGGTGGGGTTAGAAGTGCTGCTGCTGTGGATTGTGGCTGTTGGAGGTGCCCTGCTGCTGGCACTGTGCACATCAACGCTGATGCAACGGTGTTGGAAGGGTGGGTTGTGAGCTTGGGGGCTGTGATTAGGGACTCTGATGGCAGCATTATGGCTGTGATGGTTCGTCATGTGAGTGCTCAGGTCCGTGTGGCTATGGCAGAGGCTTTCGCATCACGAATGGGGGTGGTTTTGGCTACTGAGATAGGCTGTCAAAGGGTGTAATATTCATAGCATGTGAAAGACACCTATCAAGATTGAGTCATCTCTAGCCTTAAATCAAATTTCTCCATTTTTTCTAGACTCCGTAATAAATATAACTATAAACAATATATACATAACAAAGATATCATAACCACCTCTTTGAAAATTCCAACTCCAAGGGTAATATAACTAAAACTATAAAAATATCTAAGATGACAACTAAATTCTAAACGTACCTTAAACTCAGTGAACCAACAATCCCTAACCATAAGTGGCACCTCAGTAAAATTCATGTATGGGTGGTTGTAGTGTGCCTTCCAAGATTTTGTGACATTTCCACTAACGGTATGGTAATCAAACCAGATGCAAGAAAGATTAAGCACAAGCATAAATAATGATAATAAGCTACTAATACAACAAATATAATACATAGATAAATATAACTGACCATAGCCCATGTGGTGAGAGCTCAATCTTTCCTTGTTCCACTCCTTTCAAATTTTGTGGTGACACATCATTCTCAACAACAACATCAGCATTAGAATTTACTTGTACTTGTTCATTAGAAGGTGGTGGTGTCGGTCGTGTGACCACAGGATTTTCTTGGTCAACCGATTGATTATTCGCTCGGACACCGCCTTGATTACCTCCCCGACCAAATTTTGAATTTTTCATGAAGGATTTCATTTCCAAAGAACTAGAAAGATCAAGCACAATAATTAATTTATACATAATAACCCATAATAAAAAATAAAAAAAAAATTAAAAAAGTAAGCTTACAAATATGATCAACAAATTTTAAAACATTTATCATATATCAAACAAATAAGATAAACACATTGTCTATCAAACAAATAAGCCCATAACAAAGAAAACACATTGAAAACTACAAGCTTAGAAATTATTCTTCTTCTTCATCCACATCATCATCATCATCATCCTCGTCATCGCTATCAGTATATCCTATCTCTCCATCAACCTCTTCTTCAGATTCAGATTCAGTATCTTCCCATTCATCTTCTTCATGTTGTTCTTCCTCTTCACCACCTGAGCCGTCCTCCTCCATTTCATCCATATCCTCGTACATAACACCATCATCATCATCCGACGAACAAAGGGTTGGGGTCTCAGCAATGTCTACTTGGAAAATTGACTCATCGATTGGAGCATCCACACTTGACCTAGCTTTAGTCTTAAAAACAGCCCACCATTGACTCTTATCTTTCTTTAAGCTTGGATAAGAGGTAAAATACACTTGATAAACCTGATGTGCTAGAACAAAAGGATCATATGCAGGGTATTTCTTAGAGTGGTTTACATCAACTAATCTATACTGCTCATGAATATTCATGCCATTCACTGAATCCATCCAATTACATTTAAACAAGACAGTTTTGAAGACATTTACGGTCCCCAAGTAGACCAGCTCAATGACTTCTAAAATGCCGAAGTAATCAATTTCCTCCTCACTTATTACACCACACCATAATTCATAGTTGCCTTGTGCTTTCCATAATCAAAAGTGTGAAACTTAAAGCCATTGATGTCAAATTGCCTCCATGTTTTGACTTGTCTAGACGGACCCATGGCAAGTGCTCGAATCACTTCATCAGTCTCATTAGATTCGATAACCTAATTTCAAATTCAAGCCATTAATTAATAAAATATATAACCTTAGTCATATTTAGCGAATGATATATCGAAACTTGATTGTAAAAACTTACAAAATCCTGAAACCATTTGGAAAATTCATGTGAAAACTTGCTCCAAATATCATGTAGGTCAATACCAGGATATTTTTGCATCATCGACTCTTCAAACTTCCTATAAACCTTAAAACGTTAACTATCTAGCAAATTGCATAAAACAACTACCAATTATAGAAATTTGTACCTTTCATATCCTCCTAACACCCCACAATTGGAAAGAACATAGTGGTGTGCATGCTTGACTTCTTTCGAATCTAAAAACCTTGTTTGGACACCTTTGCCTCGACCTTTGCTAAATTGGAATAATTCTGGTATAGTTGAATCTAGATCATCATCATCAACAACATTGCGTCCTAGATCTCTAGATTTCGTATCAACATGAGGTTGAAAGTAATAAGAACAAAAGTTAGAAATCTCTTCTGCAAGATAAGCCTTGCAAATCGAGCCTTCCACTCGTGCCTTATTACCAATTTTCTTCTTCAGATGATTAAGAAATCTACAAAATAAGTTAAATTGACTCATTCACATGTAAAATTATAAATCATATAGAAGAAACTTGAAAACAATGGAGTGGATTAGGAAAATTTATATTACCTCTCAAATGGATACATCCATCTGCATTGCACAGGACCACCCACTTTTACTTCATGTGGCAAATGAACGGGTAATGCTCCATTGAATTGAAAAATGCAGGTAGGAATATTTTCTCCAACTTGCATAAGATTTCTGGAATGTTTTTTTCTAAACGAGTCACATCATCAACTTTAATAGTGTAAGAGCATAGATCGCGAAAAAATTGGCTGATTTCAGTGACTGCTTTCCAAACATTATCAGGAAGAAGTTCTCTCATTGCAACGGGCAACAACCTTTCCATGAACACATGACAATCATGGCTTTTCATTCCATGTATCTTACAGGCTTGCAAATCCACACATCTACCAAAATCAGAAGCATATCCATCTGGAAACTTAAGATCTTTTATCCATTCACACAACACTCTACGTTGTGCTTTATCAAGAGTGTATGGTGCTTTTGGGAATATCAAGCTCCCATCATCAGATTCAATAGGCTCTAAGCTACTCCGCTTACAATATCGCTGAACATCTAGGCGAGCCTTATCTGTATCAACTGCGGTATCTTTCACATTCATTATTGTGTGGATGAGTTGATCAAAAAAATTCTTTTCAACATAACATCTAAATTATGTCGAATCAACAAATCTTTCCAACAAGGAAGCTCCCAAAAGATGCTTTGCTTATGCCACCTGTCTTAACCTTTTTTTATTTTGTCGAATGGATTTTTGGATCAATGGACTTTGGAATCTCCTTAACCTGCTCCCATAGTTGATGGCCCGTCAATATTGGAGGAGGCAATCGAGTTTCTGCTCTTTTTTTGAAAAAAGCAGTGCGGTTTTTTCTATAAGGATGTGTAGGTGGGAGAAATTGACGGTGACTATCAAACCATGATACTTTAGAGTCGTTGTCTAGCCAAAAAGATCTATGCTTATCCATGCAGTATGGATAAGCCATCTTTCCCAATGTAGTCCAACCAGATAACATCCCAAACGCAGGAAAGTCACTAACCGTCCATAAAAGGGCAGCTCGTAACTTGAAATTTTTCTTTGTGGATACATCATATGTCATTGTACCTACTTCCCATAAAGATTTCAGTTCGTCAATCAAGGGTTGCATGTACACATCCAAGTTCCCTTTTGGGTTTTTAGGACCCGGAATGAGCAAGGATAAAAACATAAACGGCTTCTTCATACATAACCATGGAGGCAAGTTATATGGGGTAACAATTACTGGCCAACAAGAATATTGCCTTCCAAATTTTCCATATGCTGAGAAACCATCTGTGCATAGACCCAATCTAACATTTCGGGGCTCACTTGCACAATCCTTGTATGTGTTATCAAGATGTTTCCATGCTTCACTACCACTTGGATGGGCGAGTGTTCCACTTACCCTAGGATTTTGTGAATGCCACTACATTTCATGTGCAAGGTCTTTAGTCGCATAGAGCCTTTGCAACCTTGGCGCGATCGGGAAGTAGAATAACACTTTGGCCGGCACACATTTTCCACGAGAAGTCTTCTTATAACGCTCCCCCCCCCCCCCCCCCCCCCGCATTTCGAACACTTTTCAAAGTGAGCTTTATCCTTCCAAAATAACATGCATCCTTTAGGGCATGCATGTATCTTCTCATGAGGAAGTTCAAGGCCCTTTACCACATTTTTAGTGTCATAGTACGTCTTGGACATTGAATTCTCATCAGGAATTACTTCACTAATGAGCGATGAAATACTATCGACACATCTATGGGGCAAGTTGTATTCACACTTCAAGCTCGTAATCCTTGAAGCCATCTCTAAAACAGATAATCGACTTCCTTCATACAATGGTTTTTGTGCGGCCGCTAACATCTCAAAAAACTTCTTAACTTGAGGATTAGGTTCTTCTTCAACATTCCGAATATCTTCATGCATTGGATCACCATCAACTTGACCAAATGCATCAATAATCATGTCAACATACGGATCCGATGGCTCATCAGGTGCTTTTAAAGAATCAAAATCCTCTCCATGACAAACCCATTCATAGTAGTCATTAAGAAATCCTTTTTTATACAAATGCTCTCTAACACTTTCAACATCTAAAAAAGGAACATTTTTACACTTTGAACAAGGGCATATAATCTTTGAAGATTCTTGAAAATCACGGTGTTGTTTAGCAAACTCAATAAACCCTCGCACGCCAATTGTGAACTCTTTTTTTAGTAGTCGACCTTCTAATCTCTCATACATCCATTTTCGATTCAATTTCTCCATGATCCTAACTGCTAAATGACATTGTTAATCATACACACATATTCATTGGGTGGGACAACATAAATATAGAGAAACCAAAAAAAGAAACTTAATAGGAACAAAAAAAAAGAAACTTAATGCATCGGTGTATGATATCCACGATTTGCATATGCTTATAGTGAAACAAGCAGAACAAAACTATGACAGGTACAACTCAATATATTTTACCAACTCATGGAACAAAATTTCATAACAGCGGAAACTACATACATCAAAATATGAAGCAGCATAAATATGAGAATAGGATATCTAGTGTTAAGGAAAAATATTAGAAAAATAATCTAAAAATATTATATAAGGTTTTAAGTCAGTTTTTGTCAAGTGGTACAGCTGGAAAATCTGAAAAACATGGTATGCTAGTAAGGAGTTGACAGTGTCTTTTCTAATTACATTTTTGAGTTTCAACATTTTTCTATACAGGTCTACTCTTTTAAATTAAAATCATGAGAAATATATATATTTCTATAACTATTATACTACGTACTGACACCTCATTTTTTGTTGATCTCTCTCTCTCTCTCTCACTCTCAAAAAAAAAAAATTCTCCAATGGAGAATTTGGTAACATGGGCACGCTAAAATCACTTGATATGATAAATTATTATCTGAGAAACACATATTTAATCTGATGCCCCGTTTGTTTTGCTGATAATATAATTTGACTATGTAAAGCACTACAATCAAAGGTGGACATTTCATTTTCAATCTCACACTCAAATCTATGGTGTAGGACCATTAATTATGAGTAAATTCAAGTCAGATTCATATACAATTACATAGAAAACTAAAGCAAAGGACCATGAACACAAATTACAAATTGTATGATTTATAGCCTTGCATACAAAGATTTTCAGCATGACTTATCACTTATCAGTCACACACAACAGATTTAGCAATGAAATACCCACCATAATTCGCAGACCAATTACAAAATTTCATCCAACAAATTCATATTTACAAAAGAATTAGCAGCAGGGCCAATATTCAGATTGTTAAGGGTTTGGTTATTGTTGACAAAAATCAAAATATATTCCCAAATTCCCAAATAAAATTGGGAAAATTGCAGAAAAACAGTTTCTATTTCACTTTATTTTATTCCTAATTTATTTATTTTGTTATTTATTTGATTTATTTACTTGTATAGTTTTATTTAATTTTTATTAGTTTAGTGTTATTTCTCTTTTTCTATTTCACTTTATTTTATTCCTAATTTATTTATTTCATTTTTATTTGTCTTGATTTCTCCTCGGTTTTGTGTTTAGGGTCCCGGGTTTCATGTCAAGTGAGTTTGGAGATCGGGGACGAGTGAAAGTGTGTGCAATTCTTTACTTTGATGGTTGTTTCCCACCTCTTATCCATCACCCCACCTTCTTAACCTCCACCACACCAATTCCCCTGCTCCCTCTCGCACACAGCAGCCCACCAAAACCTTGCTGCAACTACCAACCACATCAGCCCACCAAAACCAATCAACATCCCCTGCTCCCTCTCCTTCACTCACGCATCAAGCCATCAACCACCACGCATTCCAGCCTTACCACCAACAACACCACACACACCAGCACCAACCACCGCCAAAACTGCCAGCATCTCCTAAAACTAATTAGCCACGCACTTTTCAGCCCACCAATTTCATCCATCATCCACCAGAGCAACCCCAACTGCTACAGCAACAGCAGCCGCACCACCACAACCCAAACTAGCCACGCAATCACACCTCAATTCTACCACCATCACCCAATTGCAGCCGCACCACCACCTTCACACGCAACCGCAACAACAACCCAATTATCCCCTGCTCCAATTCACCTCGCAACAGCCCCTGCTCACCCTCACCAACACCAGCAGCCACCCAAACCAAACTAAAATCACCACAGCAGCCCCTCACCAACACCACCGTCAACAACCAGCAACAATTAAGCAATTCGGCCCCTCAATTAAGCAAAATTTACTCACAATTTGCATAATCATTAACCAAATTTCACGAAATAAGGTTAGTCCAATTGTGAAAAAAACTAGCCACACATGATTCAATTATTCGTTACCAAGAAAAACTAAAGTAGCTCGATTGAAATTTCAGAAAAGGATCCAAATAAGCCTTAATTAAGCACACATAATTGAACCCAATCTCGACAAAACGGAATTCTACCACCACGATTTCACTAATTAAAAGCATGAGTAAAAACCTAATATATCAAAAGCAAAATTAAGCTTATGAATTAGAAAACAAACCTTAAATTGATGATCAGT